CGAAGGAGCCGCGAGGGCGGCGGATCGGGGCCGCGAGGGCGGCGCGACGCGGCCGCTAGGGCGGCGCGACGTGCAGGGGCCGCGAGGGCGACGCGACGGGGCCGCTAAGGCGGCGCGACAGGGTCGAGAGAGGGGAGCGCGACTCGGGCAGTGTAGAGCGCGCTCCGGGCAGGAAAAAAAAGGTGGTGGGCCCTAGGAAACAGTTCCCACAGGGGAACCTGCTCGATACCATGAGAAACTGAACGAGAATGAATTGACTAAGGGAAAGTTGGGTACAAATGTAAACCCTAGAAAACTGTACCCCATATGTGCTACCCCACTATAGCCTACAGTAGCTATGTCATATAAATCTGACACCGACATATTCGGACGTGCACTGACGGCGATCCTGTCGACGTCAGCTGCCACACAAATTTACTCCGAAAAATGCCGAAAACGCACGCAAATTACTCACGCATTAAATGCGACGACAGCAAAAGCTGTCCGCCACCCTGGGGGAGGGAGGCCACGGTCCATCTCGATCGTCGAGGGCAAGGATCCGTCGGTGCCGTAGGAGCGCCTTGAAAATTCTTGGCCGCTAGGAGCTGTCAGAAACAGTAGCAGAAATTTAGAACAGAAAAGAGGGTTTGCACTAGCAGGCAGTTTAGTACATATAGGAAACCCTAATTTGGGCTATACTCGCTATAGAGTACCCCACTGCAGGCTAGACAAACATCACATTCTGACACACCCCCATAGTCAAAGTGGGGTATAATCAGCACAGCAAGCAGTCATAGAGCAGGTTCACAAGTACAAGCAAAGCTAGAGGTATTCACAGAAGGCAAGTGAGGAGGAGGAGAGACTGTGAGAGGAGTGGAGATAGGAGGCGACGGGTGAAACCGCAGACACACGGGCAACAGGAGGGGCGCGCACAGTGGCTACCGGAGCAAGGGCCCCGGACTACCGGAGTAACTGGCTCCGCGGCTAAGACGAGCCGCAGGAGCAACGGACCCACGGGCGTCTGGCGCAGCGACGGGCTCACTGGGCTACCGGAGCACGCCGGCTCCGGACTACTGGCGCTGCTGGCGACACGACGGCTACCTCCGCTCAACCTCCTCCACTGTCGCAAACCCCCTTTCACACACCCCCTGCTGCACCCCTAGCTTCACTCCCACGACACCACCCTAGCACCACTCCCTCGGCTCCCACACACCCACCCCCCTCAGCGACAGCTGCAGCAGTGGGAGACGGAGGAGGAGGAGGAGCAGGGGACGGCTCACACACCCTCCACCCCCATACCCCCAACGCAGACGGCAAGGGGCAGAAACGCGGGCAGCAGCTGGGGCGCTGCGAGGGGCGACGGGCAGGGCGGCGCGCGGGCCCCCAGGGCGCCGCGACGGGCGACGGGAGGGGGCGACACACGCGGGCCCCCAAGGCGCCACGACGGGCGACGGGCAGGTTGGCGCGCGGGCCCCCGGGGCGCCGCGACGGGCGACGGGAGGGGGGCGACGCGCGGGCCCCCAGGGCGCCGCGACGGGCGACGGGCAGGGCGGCGCGCGGGCCCTCGGGGCGCCGCGACGGGCGACGGGAAGGAGGGCAGCGCGCGGGCCCCCGGGACGCCGCGACGGGCGACGGGAGGGGACAGCGCGCGGGCCCCCGGGGCGCCGCGACGGGCGACGGGAGGTGGGGACGGCGCGCGGGTCCCTGGGTGCGCCACGACGGGCGACGGGAGGGGGCGACGCGCGGGACCCTGGGGCGCCGCGACGGGGCAGGAAACCGCCACGCGCCCCGAGCGCGTGGCGGGCAGAAAACTGCCACGGGCCCAGAGCGCGTGGCGGGAAGAAAAAACGTCGCGCGCCACGGGGCGCGCGATAGACAGTACAGCAGCAGCGGAAGTATGTGGGCCCACAGGCCAGGAGCGCAAAGGCTCTAATACCATATCAGTTTAGAACAGAAAAGAGGGTTTGCACTAGCAAGCAGTTGAGTACATATAGGAAACCCTAATTTGGGCTATACTCGCTATAGAGTACCCCACTGCAGGCTAGATAAATATCACATTCTGACAGGAGCAACTACCCGTTCTCCTGGCCGGCTACTGCGCTGCTCCTGTCACCACGGCATCCTTCCCTGTCCCCCCCCCGAGGGATATTACACTCTAAAAATCGGGGTGAGCTAGGAAAGTAGCTCTGATACCAAGTGTTAGGATTTGTACTAAACAGAGTGCGCAGAAGACTTTATAAAATGGATGTGAAGTACAGAATGCCGAATATGATAAAGGAACAGACATTTATAGGGTCGAAACCGTGCTAGGCGAGGACCTCGGGACGTGCATGGTTTGGATGTGTCGCGATTGGTGCGGGGCTACTTGGCAGTGGTTCGGGCCGAAATGTAGGCCGAACCAGAAACTGACGCGTAGTGTTCGGGGCTGTCCTCGCTAAGGGCAGCTTCAGCAGTAATGAATTGTATATTCATTACACTGTACCTTTGGCTGCAACCATGTTTCTCTTTGCTGGCGACGCGTGAAATTCAGGGAAGCGGCGCAGTCGAATGTGGCGGCGGGTCTGTGATTGCGAAGGTGCTGCCGGGTGAAGGTGGGGTGCATTTGGGACACAACGAGCGCAAATAGAATCCGCCCCTCCCCTCAACCCCCGTTCCTTATTGCGCAACTCAGAACATTCTTCCCCCCCTGTCTGCCACCGACCCTCCTCCCCACCTTGTTCTTCACGAGGCGCGGTGATAGTAGCGTCCAAAAGCGGGGCTAAATAATCCATTGAAATAGTAGCCCTCGCTTTCTCACATTTGACAAAGCCAGCAAGTGCTTCTTCCGGCCTATTTCCTCCCCATATTTTTCCGCCCTATTGCTCTGACTTCCCTATTTATTTCAGATTAGAGAAAGAAAAACGTGACATACCTGAATCTATATTTCTGGAGTTCTGGCTGCGACACTTTGGCATGATTCGCAGAGGACAGCATAATCTAGTTGGTGAAACATATATTAAGTAGAAATAGCGTAGTAAGCTGTACTATCCCATACTCCCGACATTCTTGGTTGCAACGCTTTTTCCTGAGAGCCATGGCGACAGCTCGGAGCCGCCTCCTGTTTGTTGTCGCCTTGCTGGCGTGCGCCGCGGCCGCAGCGGCGAAGCACGACAAGTCGTTTGACAATCTCATGACTCTCCCCGACTTCTGCAAGTGGAACGGCGGCTGCTCTCGCCAGAACGACGGCTCCGTGAAGCTCTCCGCCTACTGGGATAAGATGGGCAGTAAGTGCATAACGGGCAAAAGGGGCGGCGCGTGCACTACGGGCAGTGAGAGCATCACGGGCTGTGAGAGCATCACACGCAGCGAGTGAATCACGGGATTGGGGGAGGGGGGGGGGGGAGGGGAGAGAGAGAGTGAGCGCATTGCGGGAAGAGAGTGCGTTACGGCCGGCCGATTGAGATGTTTGTTTGGGGCGCCTAAAAAAAGCCCAGGTAGTGCGCATCATTATCAAAATCATTCTTAGTGTTATTATGCAGTTGTACTTGATTTTAATACCCTCTTATTGCCCCCATCTTCCCCCTTGTCATGTCTTCCCCCTTTCCCCACAACCCAATCCCCGCACCCTTTTCCCTTTTTCATCGCACATCTCCTTGAGTGATCCCTTGCCCTGTTCTACTCACAATCCGTTCCCCCTCCCCGCCTCCCCTCCCCGCCTCCCCTCCCCTCCCCTCCCCCCAATGCGACAGAGTTCACCTCTAAGGGCTACTTCGGCTACGGAATCTTCAGAGTCAACATGAAGCTTCCTTCGGGTTATTCCGGCGGTTTAATACCCTGTATCTACCTTATTTCGGGTAACGGCCCAAAATACACCGACTTGCACGACGAGATCGACCTGGAATTTATCGGGGGAAATACCCCCAGTGATATTATTCTGCACACGAATCTTATCTCGGGCGGGCAGGTGTACCTGCAGCAGTACAAGTTCCCCTTCGACCCGTCCGCCGCGTTTCACACCTACACCATCGTCTACTCGCCGGATTACGTCATGTGGGCCGTCGATGACACCCCCATCCGCATCCACTATAAGGAGAGCGACCGCCCCTTCCCCTCTGAGAATGTCAAGTTCGAGGTACGTCGTGATTCTTTAGCATGCTCCGCAGCTTTTTAGCGACTCAAAACCCCGTCATTCTAAAAGCCCTGTCTTCGATTTCCAGCTTTCGTAGACCTAAAACCGTCTCAAATATAAAACGGGCTTATAGCACGTGGCTGGCATCAAAGCTCATTATCCCTCCCTCCCCTAACTCCCATGACGACTCCCCCACCTCAACATTCCAGGGTTCCATCTGGGACGCTTCCGCGTGGAGCAAATTAAAGCCCAACTGGAGCAACGGTCCTACGGAAGTCATGTTCCGCCGCTTCGATCTGCACTACACGTGCAAGGCGCCGGGACAGACGGGCACCCCGTGGTGCAACAGCCTGCGCGGAAAGAAGGCCCCATGGGCGCGCAAGCCCAGCGCGGAGGCAATTGCGCGCAGCAATGAGTTTCGGAAGAACTACTTGTTGAAGGATTATGGCTGGTCGCGGATATACTAGCAAGCGGTTGGGGAGGTGTAAGTTGAAACTTGGAATGCGAGTTTTTGATGCACACTGCTGTACAGGGTTTGGGAGGATTCGTTATTAGAGTTTTCAAGATGGTCTTGTGCGTGGGCGTGATGCATGTACGATAGAACGCTCTCTTAGGCATGGTCTCAATATGAGGGTGAGTAAGTTGTTGGTTCTGTCTTAGAGCACGGCCAGTTGGAATAAATAGCCTACTGTAATGCTGTTTTCCTGCATTGTAATGTGGAAGTTTCGATAAAACAAACCTTTGAGCTGTCGCATAGTTTTTTTGCGCTTTCATGTTCGCTTGCGCACCCTCCTTTATCCTGACCCTCTTGTGAATCTGTCCATAATACTCCGTTAGAGACAGTGCATACATATTCACACATATTCACACAAGCATTTATAAAAAAGTGGCTCCAAGAAACCCATTTTGCATGTCATCCTAAACTCTTTGTGGCAGCAGCAATCGCCTTGGACTGCGCCGATATGATGCTCACTGTCTTGGCATGTGCAGGGTCCGATGCGAAGACCGCAATGCCATCATCCCACGAGCGCAGGTCGTCAGCCATGATCTGCCAGAACATGGTGGCTGGTGCAGGGAGAAATAGAGAGGAGGGGGAAGGAGAAAAAGGTAAATGCTCAGGCGTCTGACTGCTATGCCATTGCCCCTTGCCATCATCCCATGAGCGGAGGTCGTCAGCCATGATCTGCCACAACATGGTGGCTGGTGCAGGGAGCGAGGGGAGATGGAGGGAGAACGGGAGAGGCAGGTGAGGAGGGAAAGATAAATGCTCAGGCGTCTTACTGCCATGCCACCGCCCCTTGCCATCATCCCACGAGCGCAGGTCGTCAGCCTTGATCTGCCAGAACAAGGTGGCTGGTGCCGCGAGAGAGTGAGAGGAAAGGGGAGAACGGGAGAGAGGTGAGGAGAAAAAGGTAGATACTAGTCAGGTGTCGTACTGCCATGCCACTGCCCCTTGCCATTCCCATGAGCGGAGGTGACTTTTGAGTCGCCTCAAAAGTTGCCATGATCTGCCAGTGTGTGGTGCCGCGAGACAGGAGGGGGGTGGGGAGGGGATGGAATAGGAGAGGAGAGAAAGTTAAATACTCAGGCGGCACCTCATACACGTGCCAGCAACGATGCACACACGTCCCAGCAGCCGATCCCTTCTTCGATCCCCTCTTCTTACACGACTCCAGCACAATCTGGTATAGCGCACTGTACACCTTGTTGAGAGGCGCCTCATGCTCGCACACACCCACGGAGACACATACAGGCACGCAGGACCACACACACACACACGCACACACAGAGGCGCACACATGCAGGCAGCATCAAACACACGTACCGCCAGCTGAGCCTCCCTTTTTAACCGACTCCAGCACAATCTGGTACAGCGTGCTGTACACCTTGTTGAGAGAGGCGCCTCATACACGCACACTCACACACAAGCAGCCATCAGATATGCGTACCGCCAGCTGAGCCTCCCTTTTTAACCGACTCCAGCACAATCTGGTACAGCGTGCTGTACACCTCGTTGCGCCGCGCCATGCTGCCGTCCGGAAGCTTCTTGATGCTCTCGGGGCCAAACTCGCCGATGAGCACAGGCATGTTGAGCACCCCATCCCCATCCTCCAAGTGCCCCTTCACAAAGTTCTTGAAGTATGCCAACTTGTCACTCCATGCTGACACAGAGTACCTGAAGGGGAGAAGGAGGCCGGGGGGGAGGAGGAGGCCGGGGGGGAGGAGGGAGGGAGAGAGGGGGGAGGAAGAGGGAAGGAGTTGAGCCAAGCAGCTCGTCTGCGTGTTGCTTTCGGGGCCAAACTCGCCAATGAGCACGGGCATGTTGAGCACCCCGTCTCCGTCCTCCAAGTGCCCCTTCACGAAGTTTGTGAAGTATGCCAGCTTGTCACTCCATGCCGAGACAGAGTACCTGAAAGGAAGGAGGGCGGGGGAAGGAGGGAGGGAGAGAGGAGGGAGGAAGGGAGAAGGAGTTGGAACAAGCAGCTCATCTGCGTGTTGCTCTCGGGGTCAAACTCGCCGATGAGCACAGGCATGTTGAGCACCCCGTCCCCATCCTCCAAGTGCCCCTTCACGTAGTTCTTGTAATGTGAGAGCTTTTCGCTCCATGCCGAGACAGAGTATCTGAAAGGGAGGAGGGCGGGCGAAGAGGCCAGGAGGAGAAAGAGAAAAGGCGCTCAGAAAAGAAGCTCGTTTGCATACTGCTCCTACGGGGAACGTCACACACAACGGCATCAAAACACTGTTGCACAAAAACGTCTCTCTCCTCCACACCAAACCTCAGCATCAAGCCCACCCAGGGCTCTGTTTATTTCCGAGGAGAGGAGACTCGAAAACAGACCCCTCGACACATACACGTCGAGCATGATCCCCTCTCTGCACCCTCCATCGCAGCGCACATCAGCCCCCCCCTCTCACCTGCTGATTACATGGATCGGGGGCTATCAATTTCAGAAACCTTGTTGTTCCTGAAAAGCTGGTTCCAACATTCATCGCTCTTTCCATCCGCCCCACACCTCCCAACCCCCTCTCTCACCTGCTGTTTGCATACGCATGCACTGAAGCAATGTCAATCCCCGGGACCTTGTTGTTCCTGACAAAGTCCGTCCCCACGTTCACCATCCACCACTCCGCGTTGAGCGCCTTGGCTCGATTCCCCCCAGTCCCACCACACATAACTCCCTCTCACCTGTAGTTCGCATACGCGTGCACCGAGGCAATGTCAATCCCCGGGACCTTGTTGTTGCGCACAAAGTCCGTCCCCACGTTCATCATGTACCACTCCGCGTTGAGCGCCTTGGCTCGCTCCGGTGTGGAGGGGCCGTAGAAGCCCTCTGAGCCGATGGAGAGCAGGTGGTTGGGGTCCAGCGACTTGAGATACGATGCCATGTCCGTGATCCACGCCTGGGGTTACAGGAGCGAGCAAGGAGTGGGCAGGACGGAAAAAACAAAAGGGGAAGGCCTCGGATTGAGTCCTTTGCCTCACTCTGGCGATCCGGTGTGGAGGGGCCGTAGAAGCCCTCTCCGAGCCGATGGAGAGCAGGTGGTTGGGTTGCAGCGACTTGACGTACGCTGCCATGTCCGTGATCCACGCCTGGGGAAATAAAAAACGCACAGATAGGAGGAAATCCGAGAGAACAGAAAGATTGAGGGTGAAATCAATCTTTGACTCGATTAAAAAATGAACTTCGACAGCACAGAGGGCTTGGTGTGCTGGAATTTGGAATTTGGTGGGGCTTTGACTCATGCTACTACGAAAAAAAGAAGCCTGAAACTCGAATGCACTCGCATGCTAGATCATCAAATTTTATTCAACCCCACTCTCTCTTCCCCACTCGCGTTCCCCACTCTCTCTTCCCCACTCGCGTTACCCACTCTCTCTTCCCCGCTCGCGTTCCCCACTCCCCGCTCTTTATTCCCCACTCATCTCTTGTTACCTGCAAGACGTCCCCTAAGGGATCCGCGTAGACCGGGGGCTCGTTCATGAGCTCCCAGCCAAACCTGTGAAAGGTGAACGACACTTTTCCCTGGGCAGCGGAGGCCTCACCTGCAGGACGTCCCCTGTCGGATCTGCATAGACCCGGGGCTCGTTGATGAATTTTACTTTTGAGAATTCTTAAAAGTAAAATTCACACGGCAGCGTAGGCCTCACCTGCAGGACGTCCCCCGAGGGGTCTGCATAGACCCGGGGTTCGTTCATGAGCTCCCAGCCGAAGATGGTGGGATCATCGCGGTACAGCTGGCCTGTGAGTGTGTTGCGTCTCATGATTCCCAACTCTGTGTTCCCCACTCATCTCTTGTTACCTGAAGGACGTCCCCTGAGGGGTCTGCATAGACCCGGGGTTCGTTCATGAGCTCCCAGCCGAAGATGGTGGGATCGTCGCGGTACAGCTGGCCCGTGAGCGTGTTGCGCCTCATGATTACAGCCTGGCGCAGGGAGAATCGATGGGGATTTGAGGGGGGGAAGGGAGGGAGGTTGGGGGGGGGGGGGGGGGGAGGAGGGGGGAGGTGATCAGCTTGTGAGGGTTTGATGCGGTATAGCAGGCCTGTGAGTGTGTTGTGGTCCAAGAGTACAGCCTGGCGCAAGGAGGGAGGGAGACATCAGCCCTGCTGCACCACACATCACTCTACTGCATCACACCGCACCGCACCATACCACACTGCACTGCACACAGACAGCACCAGCACGCCAGTGCACCTTGAGAAAGTTTTTGTACAACAAAGCAGAAGAGGGTCGACAAAGAATGACGTGTCGTCGCCGGGAGGAGTCCCCCCAGCAGCAGCGCTCTTTGAGGCGCCTCAAAACTCACAAGCAGCACCATCACAGCAGCATCGCACCTTGATAAAGTTTTTGTAGAACGTTCGGCAGAGAGGGTCGACAAAGAAAGCTGTGTCGTCAGCAGGAGGGGTGCCCCCAGCAGCAGCGCTCCACTTGATGTACTGGTTCTTGCCGCCATAGTCGTCCCAGTTACCATTCAGCACCATGTGCAACCGCACTCCAAACCTCTTGGCCGTGAAAAGCACATAGTCTAGAGCCTGGGGAGAGCAGGGGAGGGCAAGAGAGAGAAAAGGCGATGGGAAGGAGAGAGCAACTCAAGAGAGGGTCGACTAAGAGAGAAGTCCATGTGGTGTCGTCGTGAGGAGGCCTGCTCCCCCCACAGAGTCACACACTCCTTCAAATCCCACCAACTACGAGCAACGTCCCCACCAGAGGTGAGTCACACCCACCCCGAGTCACACCCACCCCGAGTCACACCCACCCCGAGTCACACCCACCCCAAGTCACACCCACCCCGAGTCACACCCACCCCCGAGTCACACCCACCCACCCCCGAGTCACACTCACCCACCCCCGAGTCACACCCACCCCCGAGTCACACCCACCTTGAATGTGTTTTCGTCAAACACCCCGGGTCTGGTCTGCAGAGCATGCCAGCCCGGGCCGTCATAGAACGCCCCCGTGCGACACACTGTGAGGCCCATGCTGCGCCCCTGGGTCAACGCCTGGTTCACCTGGTGGGGCACGGGAGAAAAGCAACAAGGATTGGAGGTTGGCATAAGAAACAAGGCACAACACACGAGAGGCACACTGTGAGGCCCATGCTGCGCCCCTGGGTCAACGCCTGGTTCACCTGGTGGGGCACGGGAGAAAAGCAACAAGGATTGGAGATTGGCATAAGAAACAAGGCACAACACACGAGAGGCACACTGTGAGGCCCATGCTGCGCCCCTGGGTCAACGCCTGGTTCACCTGGTGGGGCACGGGAGAAAAGCAACAAGGATTGGAGGTTGGCATAAGAAACAAGGCACAACACACGAGAGGCACACTGTGAGGCCCATGCTGCGCCCCTGGGTCAACGCCTGGTTCACCTGGTGGGGTGAGAGAGAAGGCGAGGGGTGGCAGAACGGAAGCGGAGATGAGGGCGGGTGAACAGGTGGAGAGAGATGGTAGGGGGACGTGGGGATCAGAAGAAGCGTGGAATGGTAGGTAGAGCGGCCTTTGCAACGCACCAGATACTTCTTCTCAGGAATGCTCGCAATGTACATGAGCCAGTACGTGTTTTACCAATTCATATTACATAGAGAATGAAAGTAAGTGTGTTAAGTAAGAGACGTCACAGCACAAATGGCATGCCACGTACCAGATACTTCTTGTCGGGAATGCTCGCAGTGTACATGAGCCAGTACGTGTTCCACCCGTTCACATCACACAGAGCATGAAAGTTAGTGTGTTAGAGACGTACCAGATACTTCTTCTCTGGAATGCTCGCAATATACATGAGCCAGTACGTGTTCCACCCGTTCACGTAGAACGGCTTGCCCCGCAGCCACAGCTGCCGCCCCACCCGCCGCACGAACCCATCGCTAGGAGCGGCAGCCTCCACCCTATACACGGGCTTCGCCTTCCCCTTGTCCGCATTCGCCAGTGTGCACGCAGCGTCGCTCCTGGAGAAAAGACACCTCAGGGACGACAGCAGGCCCTGGGGGGTGAGCTGGAGGAGCCCGGCCTGGGCAGGGGCCGAGCCAGAGGCACTGCCAGAGGCAGACGCTAAGGTAGAGGCCGAGGGAGAGACAGAGGAGGTAGAAATATCGCCAGCTGCTGCTGCCTCCTCTGCTGCCGATTCTTCGGCTGCTTCTGAAGCTGGGGCCATTTCCTCGTCCTCTGGAAGAGGTGCGGGTGCGTCTGCTGCTGATGCCTCTTCTGCGCCTTGTGCTGCTGACTCGTCTGCGCCTGCTGCGGGTTCCTCTCCGCCTGACGCTGAGAGATCTCCGCCTTCTGCCCTTGCATAGCCGCTCTGATGGAGAATGAAGCTCGGAAGCGGCTCCTCCCTCTTGTACGGTCCATCACCAGGCACGGGGAACTCACCAACCACAGGGGCAATTGCCCCAGAGGAATCAGCAGCAGCATCACCAAACGAAGCATCTGCACCAGCAGCAGGAGTGACAGAGACAGCAGCACCACCGCCAGCAGCAGCACGCCATTCGTCCCGCATAATACCCGAGGAATGGCTGTGTTTGCCCATGGACCCGGGGAGGCGCACTGCAGCAACGCGAGCAGGACTGCACAGAGCGAGAGCGACAGTCACTGAGAGCAGCAGAGGTGATAAATACACGAAGGAGTCCCTCCTCCCGCGGTGAGGGAAACGGCGCTCATAAATAGAAAAACGGCTCGCAGCCTTCTCTTTCTTGAAACTCCTCAGGCGAGAGTTCCCAGACGCCATTTTTCAAGGTTTAGGTACCAGCACCCTCAGGAGCTAGGGGGAATCAAAGGCCTCCAAGAGGCCTTCAGATTTTCTAAGGTACTGCTGTCAAGAGGATCTCGCGGAGGAACGAGGTTGCTCGTGGGAAACAGGAGCCTGGGACGGGATTGCAACGGGATGACTGAACAGGCTGCGACGGCCCTTCATTCGATCTTTAAACGGCTTGCGTGAGCTGGCAGCGCAGAGCGTGTAGGTGGTACTAGGGCCGACATCCTTCTTGTGGTTGTTGGGTTGGTGGGGGTCGCAGGAGGCGGCTGAGGAAGCACGAGGTGGTTGAGGGGGAAGCGGCCAAGGACGAGGAGAACCAAGAGGGCCAAGATCGAGGGCTAAGAGGGTAAAGATCGAGGGCCAAGATGGGAATGGAGGAGGGAGGTAGTTACGCCTCGGCTCGACTACACCACAACGTCTTGCGAGGCGAAATCACGGCGCCGCGAGCGTTGGATCAAGAGTTATTGAAGGTGGGACTTCGACTGCCCAAGGTCGAGTCCCAGGAACGAGGAACGACGAGAAACGAGAGGCGTCTCGTTTGCACGTTTGGGACTCGCGTTCGCGTCGAGCTCTTGCATTCCGAAAGAATTTCGTTGGACAAGACATTGTCTTGCAACGCCACCTTGGCCCGCGGAGCTCGTATGGAATCGGTGCCACCTGCTCAATCCATCGCCACTTTCCAAGCCGGTTTGGCTTGGCTCGAATGCCTTACGACGGATAACGATAAGTCGGAGAAACAGGCCATCACATTTCCGTTCGCGGTCAAATCACGCCGCTCGCAACAGCTAAGATCGCGACAAGCACCTCTCACCGACACCGAAAACCCCCTCGACCGCTTCTGCCGAGCCGCTTATGCCGAACCGCAGACGAAATTCAAGATCGAGGACTCCTATCCTGGATCGTAACATATGGCTACCATTGTAGAAATGCCTTTCCTTCTCGCAACGCAGGTTTTGAGGCTCGTCGTCGATTCGGCCAGATGGACAAATGCTAGCCAATCAGCTACAAGCTCGAGGTCTTTCTCGGAAGCCTACCTGAGGGCGATTCGATTCGGAGATTCCTGACGGTGGACTCGCTACGACGCTCGAAACAGGACTTCGACGCTCCGCAAGAAACAAGCCAATAGGAGCGGCGGACCTAGCCTGGTTCGGACACCAAGTCTAGCGAGGCGAGAACTGCGGAGAAGCAGTCTAGGTGCGGGACGCGCATGCGAAACTTAGAATACTCGAACGCGCAGGCGAAATAGATACTCGTAAACGACATGCGAGCCATGTCGGTAAGGAAAACCGCCTCGGCGTGAATCCCGAAGTGAGCCTTGGGAACTGAATCCTGAGACGAGAATCCCGAGGTAAGACTAGACAGGAGATGAGGTGATGGTCGGGTGAGCGACCCAGTCTGGCTCGGAGAAGCGTGAAAGCAGGGGCAGCGTTAGATGGGGAGGCATGGAAGTAGGCAACGACAGGAATGTGAGTGGAGGTGATGTTTGAATAAGGCATATGTTTCAATCATCGGGATTGTCGGGGACGGAGCAAATCCAAAATCGAGGTTTCCCCTTGTCCCTGATATTGGTACATCAGTTTCTTGGTATAGCCATCTACAGAGACATACAGCCTGAGCTAGGTACTCTAGAAACAGATCACATGAGGTAGAACCACAACCATCATGTTATACACGAGCCCAAGGATTTGTAAGAAATACACTCGACAATAATCTACATATAGGACAACTCCAAGACCATACCAATTGTCTCTAATAGAACATAGGACAACTCCAAGACCATACCAACTGTCACTAATAGAACAATAATCATGAATAGTTTGCTGGAGTGCTTTCTTTCAATAATTCTCAGAAGCATCATGCACACATTTCCTAACAAAATCAATGGGTGCGTGCGATTCGCACCCATCACAATAAGAAACAAACAAACATAAAAGTATCATTCAGAAAGAGCTCAGCCGCTGCACGAGCGAGTGCAGTAATGAACTCCTAAGTTAGCACCCAACCAAGTGTTAGCATCAGCTATTGAACTCAGGGTCAGCCTTCCAGGCTTCAGAAAAACAGATCCACCCAGATGTCAGGAAGCCCTGGCAGGCACGGGTGCAGGCAAGTTTTTGCCGTCAGGGGCCTGCGTGCGACGGCAAGCGTCAGCATCAACTGTTGAACTCCGGGTCAGCCTTCCAGACTTCATAAAACAAGTCGACCCAGATGTCAGGCAGCCCGGGCAGGCACGGGTGCAGGCAGTCCTTGCTGTCAGGCGACTGAGATGCCAGCATGGCATCGCTTCTGTACAACGACGGGTGGGTGATGTCCACGAAACGAATGTTCTTGCTGGGACTCAGAACGTCCCGCTGTGCGGGGAACCACTTGCGGCTCTGAGGGTTCCCGCGCACCATGTGCTCGTACTGCTCAGGGATGCCAGGGCACGGGGAGAGGGGAGGGGTGGGTGAAAGTTCTGAGGGTTGTTCCGCACCATGTGCTCATACTGCATCGTGCCAGGGCACGGGAAGGAAGCATGGAGGTGCATGATTGTGTGTGTGGGGTTGTGAAACTGCAGCAGTTGCAGTGATGTGAGTATGCGAGGTGCAAGTGCAAGTGTTATAGATCAGAGCACAGTCATTTAACTCACCACGCACCTGTTGGCAGGGGAGTAGGAGCCCTGGCAGTTAACAGAGTGCACATACTGTGCGTCACACACACACACACACACACACACACACACACACACACACACACACACACACACACAAACACACACACGCGCGCGCGCGCGCACACACGCGCGCGCACTCACCGTGGATCTGTTGGCAGGGGTGTAGGAGCCCTGGCAGTTAACGAGGCGGGGAGGTGCGGAGAGAAAGTAGGGCACAGGCAGGTCCCAGCGCTTGCTGTTGCCCGCATTGAATGACTTTCCCAGCTTGTTGAGTGCTTGCCTGGGGGAAGAGGAGTGGGTCAAGGAAGAGAGAGAACAGGCAGGCGTGAGACAATGAGAAGCCTCTCATTGCACAGACTGTGCGCGATCGCTTACTTACAACTCGCTCGCAACCACCCCAACACAGGCACTCCCTTGCACGCCCCACAGTGCTGGGCTCAAGGTCGGGTTTGCACCAGCTGTGACCCATGAAGACTGCCCGAGGCAAGTCTCAATGAGAAGGCAATACACATAGCAAAAAAAGAAAACAGATGTAAGCGCTTACTTGTATCATCACATAGTTCCTGCACTGGTGAGCGGCGGATCAACACCCAAGAGAAACCTCAACCTTTCGAGACGCCTCAAGAGTTGCCGAAGAGTATCCCAATCGCCACTTCTCCATCTTGCATAATCACCCTTCCTTAACTCACAAAGGCGCTCAACCACATGCACTCACTTGTATGCGCTCACGGTGTCGGGCTTGGGTCGAATCTTGCCACTCAGTTTGTCCCCTTGGCACTCACTTGGCTTGACACACTCACTCACCCAACACTCCCCTTAACAGACACTAGCCAACGAGCACTCACTTGTACGCAGTCATGGTGTCGGGTTCGGGGTCGATGCGGTGCCAATTACGGTCCACAAAGAAGCGCCGCAGCCAGCGCTCAGCGTGCGTAGTCCCTCTTCTTTACACCCACACACAAGAGCTCACCCACATGCACTCACTTGTACGCAGTCATGGTGTCGGGCTCGGGGTCGAGGCGGTGCCGCTTGCGGTCCACACAAAACCTCCTGAGCCAGTGCTCGGCATGCGAAGTCCCTCTCTTGACACTCTCACACAAGAGCTCATCCGCATGCACTCACCCACCCACATGCACTCACTTGTATGCAGTCATGGTGTCGGGCTCGGGGTCGAGGCGGTGCCACTTGCGGTCCACAAAGAAGCGCCGCAGCCACCTCTCAGCGTGCGGCCAGTGCGTGGCGGACTGGAAGACGATGAGGTCCATGGCCTGCACCTGGTCGAACCACTGCGGGTCAAACGCGCCCAGGTTCACTGCTGTGTCTCCCAGGCCTGGATCCTGCACCCTCAGCTTGCGAATAACCTGCGGAGAGATGGGAAGGGAAGAGGGCACAGAGAAAGGGAGAAAACACGGCAGGGTAGACGGGAGGGAAGAAAGGGGGGGACAAGGGAGGGAAAAGGGAGGAGTGGGGGGGGGTGGGTAGTGGAGGGGAGGGAAGACGATGAGGTCCATAGTCTGCACCTGGTCGAACCACTGCGGGTCAAACGCGCCCAGGTTCACTGCTGTGTCTCCCAGGCCTGGATCCTGCACCCTCAGCTTGCGAATGACCTGCACATGGGTAACAATAAAAACAAAAAAAAAACGAAGTGGAGGGAAAAGGGGAGAGGGGACAGTGGGGTGAATGGGAGTCGATGGGGTCAGCTTGAACCTAGTCGAGCCAATGCGGGTCAAATGCTAGACCAGGTTAGGCTTGGTCAATTGAACGCCAGACCAGGTTAGGTTAGGTCAACCAAATGCGAGACCAGGTTAGGCTCTCCTAGTGTGACATCCAAGTCAGGGCTTCCGTCCTGCCTGTGGAGGTTACCAGCCCACAGGGAGGTTCCGTGTGCGCATGCATGCTTCCACCACATGCGGCATGCACCATGCACTGCCCCATGCACCATGCCCCATGCACCATGCCGCATGCACCATGGCCCATGCACCATGCCGCATGCCCAAAAGAGCACCCACCACGGGATTGGCAGAGGTCCACATGAGGAAGGGGCTCCAGTAGTTGGCGATGGTTAAGTTGTGCGAGTCCAGGCGCCACACAAAGCTGCCCAGCGCACTGCCCTCCACCCGGCTCACCGTGCCCACCTGCGCCAACTGGTACAGGTGGGAGAGGGGAGTGCATGGGGAAAGGCTTTGTGTGTTTGAAGGGCCCTGCCACAAAGATACCCAGTGCACTACCCTCCACGCGGCTCACTGTGCCCACCTGCGCCAACTGGGATAGGTGGGAAGGGTGGTGCATGGGGAGAGGAGAGGAGTGCAGAGGGAGTCAGGTGTGGGCTGGGGAGGGGGGGGTCGAAGGCCGAGGAGAATAAATTCTGTGCGTTTGAGGGGCGGCGCCACACAAAGTCGGCCAGCAGCCTGCCCTTCAGGTGCGAAGGGGTGGTGCATGGGGAGAGGAGAGCACAGAGGGACAGTGGGTGCACGCAGACAGGGTTGCGTGGGGGAACAGGCGTGTATGGAAGGAGGGGGGGACGAACGAGGAGAATGAGCATGGTGTGCTTGAAGGGCCCCAGGCCTTAACCATTCTCACATTCTGCGGTCACTTGCTAGAGCAGCGAGCCTACGTGGCAGAGCAGCGAGCCTACCTGGCAGAGTAGTGTATTGATCACTTTCGAGAATTCTCAAGATGATTTAAAAGTAGCCTACCTGGCAGAGCAGCGAGGGCATGAAGCCGTCTGTAATCAAAGAGTCGCCAACAAGAGTTATCACCCTGTCAGGCACAGGGAAGGCACAGTTGCAAGAGATAAAGGGGCGGAGGGGAGTGGTGAACGGTGGAGAGTGGTGAACAAGGGCCAGGCTGTTACACCATTGGTGACAAGTTGCTCGCAGGAGCAATCACCCTGTCAGGCACAAGGAAGGATGGGATCAGGGAGGGCGATAAAGGGTTGGAGGGAAATGGGTGGAGGAGGTCGGGGGAAAGGAGCGATGAGAAAGCAAGGAGGAGGTGGGGGAAAGCTCAACTGGGGAGTTCAGGAGCGCCTCTGGGGAGATTTTCCAGGGCGAAATTCTAAGCAAGTCAGAAAAGCTGAAAAAGAAAGCTAAACGATCGCTTTTCCAAAGGGGATCAGCGTAGCTGGGGAGTTCAGGAAATGGAAAGGAAACGAGGGAAGGAGAGGGGGGGGTCGGCAGAGGGAACAGCATAAGTTGGAGGTAGCACCACAGGTCGGACACTGCCCTCCCTGACCTCCCTGCACTCACCCTCCCTGCACTCACTGCCCTCCCTGCCCTCCCCGCACTCACCCTCACTGCACTCACTGCCCTACCTGCCCACCCTGCCCTCCCTGCCCACCCTGCCCTCCCTGCCCTCCCTGCCCTCCCTGCCCTCCCTGCCCTCGCTGCCCTCCCCGCACTCACCCTCCCTGCACTCACTGCACTCCCTGCCCTTGCTGCACTCCCTGTCCTCGCTACCCTTGCTGCACTCCCTGAGACTCACTTGTTTTGCATCTTCTGGGCGAAGTCGGCCGCTTGGAAGCGAAGGATGTTGCCGCCACACTGCTTTGGCTTCCACGAGTAGCGCTGCAGCGAGGGGTAGAGATGGGCAGAGAGGGGAAGAGAGGGGTAGAGAGGGGTAGAGAGGGGCAGAGCGGGGCAGAGAGGGGAGAGAGGGGAGTGAGGGGGAAGAAGAAAAAAGGCAATACGAGAAGGTGGATTCATGAGAAGACGCATGTAGCACTTGTGATGCGGATGGGCTTAGCTTGCAGGGCTCTCAGTGGCTTGAATTTTTGAACGAAGTGACGTGCCATACGTTTCTCCACTCTCTCCGCCCTCTCATCTCCCTCACCTCCCTCACGTCATAAGGGCTCAGCAGGGGGTCACCATCTGCGAATTCTCCAGCCGGCTGTACTTCTGCCTACGTGACTTTTGCGTTGATTGACTCAGAAGGACTCACCATCCATGAGTGGTCCTGCCGGCCGTACTTCTGTCTGAGGCAGTTGGTTGTGGGCGACACAGACTGCCATGCCGGGAACGAGAGGGGAAGAGAGCGCAGGAGGGGGGCGGAAAGGGTAGGATGCCGCTCAGAAAGCATATGAGGGAGCGTCAGGAGTGGTAGTGATAAGGTGGATAAGTTTTTCGGGGACACACAGCATGGTGGAGAGACGTTGAGCGGAGTGGAGGAAATGGTGGGAAGGGAGGAGAGAAAGAGAGGGAGGGGAGAAGAGATACGAGGACAAGAGTGAAAGGGGGACCGGAAAGGGAGAATTGCAGAGTACGGGAGGGGGTACGAGAGAGTAGGAAGACGAGAGAGGAGGGATCCACCCAACGCTTAGATGAATGCGAGGTGAGCCAAGGGGCTTCCACACACATTGCGCGTGTGATAAGTCGAGTTTTGAGCCAGCTCGAGAGAGAGGAAGGACCCACCCAACGCTAACATGATGAATGCAAGGTGAGCCAGAGAGTTTCCACACACATTGGCCCCCTTACAGTGCACAGACATGCAAAAACGCCTCATGCTGATGAAGGAAAACCACCACTATTATCACCACGACCACAAGCACCACCATCACTATCACCACGGTTATAATCACCGCTGCCAGTGCCACCACGTTACAGTCACCACCATTAGTATCACAACCGCTACTATCACCACCGGCTGTTCCCACCATGGCTCCTCAGAGGCTTACGTTTATGAAGGGACAAGAGTCCATGTTGTACGCAGGACGGTTGTCCTCGTCCCACACCCACTCGCCCTCGTATATGTTGCACGTGGTCGAATCCATTGCTTCGTCCCCGCCCATCGTGGCACCATACGATGGGTTGCTCGTTAGAGGCCCCTCGTCCTCGCTACTGTCACCTCCGCTGCTGTCACCACCGCTACTGTCACTGCTGCTAGGGTCACCTCCCTCGTTCGACACAAAGGAGACTGAACCGTCGACACCTGAGGAAGCACCTGAGGCGTCGGTAGCACCTGAAGATGCACCTGAAGAAGCAGCCGCGTCAGTGGCAGCTGCAATGTCAGCAGTGTTATCCGCAGTAGCAGCATTAGGGTCAGTACCAGCACCCCATGCAGGATCCACAGCAGCACCTGAATCGGTATAGGTATTAGTATCACCAGCAGGAGCACCAGTAGATGCAGGGTCGGCAGTTACAGAGCCTGGGTCAGTGTAAGTGTCAGCAGGAGGGGGAGGGCTGGGTGGGGGTGGGCTCGGGGGAGGTGGGCTCGGGGGAGGTGGGGACTGTGTCTGGTAATCAGTAGGCTGGTAGTCCGATGTTGACTGGCTGTCACTAGCTGTCTGGTCACCGCTGCTTGTTGTTTCACCTGAGCTTTCACCTGAGCTGTCACCTGAGGAACCCCAGGGCCACCAGCTACCAGAAGACGAGGTGTCTCCCGTCGAATCAGAAGGCGGCGGGGGAGAAGGCACAGACCAATCAGAAGGCGGCGAAGGGGAAGGAACGGACCAATCAGGAGGCGGCGGAGAGGGGCTGCTAGGTGTCTGCCATTCATTGGTGGACACCCAATCAGAGTTGGTGGCTCCCGTGTCAGTGGACGAATCAGAAGGGGGAGGAGGAGAAGGTGTGGTGCTGGCGGACCAATCAGGAGACGGGGAGGAGTAGTCGGAGGAGGAAGAGGAGTCGGCTGGTGCCGTCCAATCAGATGACGTGCCAGCTGGAGGTGACCCATCAGATGACGTGTCAGCTGGTGCTGACCACTGAGACGATGTGTCAGGAGAGCTCGACCAATCAGAGGAGGAAGAATCAGGGGAAGGGTTCCAGGAGTCCTGGAGCTGCCTTCGATTGGCATCTGTGTGCATGGAATGGATGGAGGGCGGCAGAGAGGAAGGAAGGGAGAGAGGCACTTTGGTTAAGATGGAGGGAGGCAGGAAGAGAGGGATCGGGTAGAGAGCAGCACGGCAACAAGTGTAGGGAAACGGGCGAAGAGGCAGTGTGAGGAGTGGGAGACAGACAGAAAGAATGTGCAAGGGATTATAAGAGCACGGTGCTACAGCAACAGAGAGAGAATCCATCAGCCACCCTGTCTCTACTCTCTCTGTTTTTCCGGTTGATTCAGCAACAGCAGCGCCCACCAAGTGATATTCATTTTGCTCGTATAGCCCCCAAAATGATGGAAGAGTCCCAGGCGTAGCCTCATCCTATACCTTGGACACCAGTCCTGCTTGGGATCATTCCCTGTGTCTGTTCCGGGCGGGGTAGGGGGAGGGTCCGTGACCGTGGTGGCAGCAGCAGGAAGGCGCGTGTGCGCTGCATGCCCTGGGCTGCCACGAAGCGGGCGAGGGGCGAGGCGGGCGAGGGGGCGCGCAGCCCGTGCGCGAAGCTCAGGGCGAAGAGCTCCGCGAGCTGGTGGGGATGGAAGGAAGGGAAGTGAGGGAGGAATGGGGGAGAGATTGGGGTTGGGAATGAGGGGCACGAGGTAGCAGAGCGGCGAGGGGGGGCGAGGGGCGACGGGGGTGAGGGGGGCGAAGGGGAGAGCAGCCCGTGGGCGAAGCTCAGAGCGAAGTACTCCGGCAGCTGGGGGGGATGGTGGGGGAGCGAAAGGGAGGGGTGGAAGGGGAGGGAGGAGATAGAGCAGCAGTATGAAGCACGTCTTAAGCTGTCACGAATCCAGGCAGAGACGAGAAGGAGAAGGGGATCAGCACCAGTGGAGCACAGGTCAGAGCAAAGAGGTATGCCAGTTGGGGGAGCCGGGAAGAAGAGGAGGAAGTGAGGAGGAAGAGAGGAAGAAGGAGAGGAAGGTGAGGAGGAAGGAGGGCAGGACAGTGAGGAGGAAGACATGAGTGGGAAGCGGGCACATCCCATCCCACCTCTACCCTTTCAGCCTCACATTCGGCACTCTACCTCTGAACCACCTCAACACCACCTAAATACCCTCCTTCCCACCAGCACCCACCTCCATATCACCTGAATACCCTCCTTCCCACCAACGCCCACCTCAATACCACCTCAACACCCTCACTTCCACCAGCACGCACCTCCAGGCGAGTGCACTCCAACCTCTCGTCTGCTTTCGCCCCTCCACTACCCTCTCGCGGGTCCCCATCAGCACTCCAACCAGGCCACCTCAAACTACCACCTCAAACAACTACCACCTCAAACTATCACCTCAAACTACCACCTCAAACTACCACCTCAAACTATCACCTCAAACTACCACCTCAAACTACCACCTCAAACTACCACCTCAAACTACCACCTCAAACTACCACCTCAAACTACCACCTCAAACTACCACCTCAAACTGCCACCTCAAACTGCCACCTCAAACTGCCACCTCAAACTGCCACCTCAAACTACCACCTCAAACTACTACCTCAAACTGCCACCTCAGACTGCCACCTCAAACTGCCACCTCAAACTGCCACCTCAAACTGCCACCTCAAACTGCCACCTCAAACTGCCACCTCAAACTGCCACCTCAAACTGCCACCTCAAACTGCCACCTCAAACTACCACCTCAAACTGCCACCTCAAACTGCCACCTCAAACTGCCACCTCAAACTGCCACCTCAAACTGCCACCTCAAACTGCCACCTCAAACTGCCACCTCAAACTGCCACCTCAAACTGCCACCTCAAACTGCCACCTCAAACTGCCACCTCAAACTGCCACCTCAAACTACCACCTCAACACCCTCACTTCCATCAACACGCACCTCCAAGCGAGTGCACTCCAGCGTCTCGTCCACCGTCGTCCCTCCATCCTCTCGCGCATCCCCATCTACACTCCCCAACTCCGCCCCATCAACCGCCGGCACCCCATGCTCCTCCTCATCCCCCACAGCGCCCACCCGCTCGCCCGCCAAAGTCCTGTTCCGCGCGCGCCCTCCTCCCCCGCCCCTCTCATTCCCGCGGCAGCGGGCAGTGCGGGCCTCAGTGGCTCTCAGGGCGAAGGGCGGGCTGTACCCGTCCTCCCCCTCCCGCTCCGCCGTCTCCGCCGTCTCCGCTTCCCCGTTCTCCCCCTCCCGCTTCTCCAGCCCCAGGTCAGGGCGGGAGGGCGTGATAAGGTAGGGGCTGCTGGGTTGGCGCATGGCGCAGGTGCCCGCTGCAGCCCCGGGCTGCTGCTCGCACCCGGAAGCGCTGTAATCGAGTCCGTTCTATAAGGAGGATGGAAGATTCAGGGGACGGAGAAATCGGGATGGAGATTTGGGAGACGGGGAAGCAGGGAATGTTGTGAGTGCACGGCGAGTGGACTGTCGTGGGAGAATCAGTGCGGATGGTGATACGGGAGAGCGCAAGCGGGGAAAGAGGGGAATTGGCAGGAAAGCTAAAAAAACTGAAACAACTGTGGCGCAGCGCCGGCCCAGACCATACCACCTCCCCCCCCCCCACACACACACACCATGCGCGTGCGACGTGCATACCTCGGGGAGCACAGCGTGCGACGCACGGATGCGACTGAGATTCTCGCGCTCCACCGTCACGGCGACGGCTGGCGACGGGTGCAGCGACGCCAGGCACGCCTGCACGGCCTGCTCGTACTCGCACGCTTCCATGGCGTCCTGGTGGAAGGGAGGATGGGGGATGGGGAGACTTTTGAGTCCACTAAGAAGAGACTTCGACTGCTGCGGATTGCTCTTACGCGTACGGGTCAAGAGTCCTGCCGGGGAGCAGACGGTTGTTGGTAAAATGGGCGCCTGATGGGTATTCGCAGGCAGGTTTTTTTTTAAGAGTTCATAAGTCAACTCGGATGGGGTGGAGGGGGGACATGTCGCTGTCAGTGGGGGATGGGGAGAAGGTTACGATGGCAGCACGTCCATGTCGGAGCAAGGACGAGAATGACGAGCAGGAAGCGGGGGACCACCCATACGCGATGAGAGCGAAGAAAGCAGACTAGCTGCTACAGAACCTCATCAACCTCTCTTGTTTGAGAAGTCTCAAAAACCCGCGTCTCTTCGCCACCCACCGCTCTCAACCACGTGTTCATCCCAGGAGGGAATAAGGGCTCGGCGCTATCCGCAGCACGGCTCAGCACTCGCACCTCTCGTGCCGCTCGTTTCAAGAACTTGTCTTACACTTGCGACCCACTCATATCTCCCAGCCAGTTACCCACTCACCGCTTTCAACCACGTGTTCGTCTCCGGAGAGAAGAAAAGCTCGAAACTGTCCGCAGCATGGTTGTGCATCCCGCCCGCAGCCCCGCCGTGGCTGCACGCTGGGACGGACACCTGGATGGGGTATCGACGATGCCGATAGCGCAAAAGGTCAGGCATCCCTAGTCTGGAGAAGGAAACGGACCTCTCGAGTCCGCAAAACGCGAAGACGCGGATTCTCTCGTGGAGCGGTTCTCCAATCCGCGCAAATATCATTAGTCAAATCTTGACGATCGAGTCAAAGCGTCGTGAAGCTAGGAAACCGCAGCAGCCACTTACCGTTTCCCTGGTGGGCTCGAGGTGGTCCCGCCAGTCGTCGATCGGCCACGAGACGCTGCGCACCCACAGGGAATCCTCGCGCTCTCTTCTTCTGCGCGTGCTGCTCCGACCGGTGCTGTTTTTCGCGACGGCGAAGAGGTCCGCGAAGCGGATGTGCGGCATGTGCTCGTCGCTGGGCCACACGGCGATAGTGGTAACATCCGTGAGATGCGTTACAGCGAATGCCGCACAAACAGCGTGCAGACGCGAACCCAGATCGCCCTGAAGAAAAAGGGAGATTTGACAACAAATTAAGTAGAGAGGCATGCGTTTTCAATGCTAAGTAACAAACGTGCAATCTCTTTCTATCTCTCCCCTCTCCCTTACTCGTCCGTTCCCCTGTTAACCGTCACCAGAAATCTTTGTGTCAGCTTGCTTCGTCGCGGTCAGACGTACCTCAGCGATCATCAGCGCGTCTGCTCTGTCGCAGATTCCCGCCTTTCCGATCAACTCGCAGTCGTCAAGCGACGTCTTCCGGAGGCCCCACAGTCCGTGGTCCTCGTGGAACTGATCGTCAGTTAGCTCGTCAAATGTTACAGTTAGTAGTTTAGAGGACGAGATGGAATCCATCTCGTTCTTGTCTGAACCGGCTGAAACCGCCGTGACGAACACCAGTAGAAAAAACGTTAGAGTCGCGGGCCTGCTCCATGCTGTCATTTGAAACATTGCAGGTCGATTTGAGAGATTCAGTCTCACAACAAGCGGAGATATAGAACGAGCTTCCGCTCAGAAATAAATACAAACTGGCTGCTTTATTTTCACTGCAGAATAATCGACCTCCACCAGGTCATGCCAGCATGATGCGGTCCGCCAGGAAAAACTCTGAAAGAACCCTTGATAACAAGTCTGGCATATCGCCGAGATAATTCACTTGAGCATAACAAGGGAATGCGTGGATGCAGCGGAAGGAACCAAGGAAAGGCGGATGAACGATGTAAAGGCGGAATTATGTAAGTAAAAGATGAAGCGGCAAGGAAAGATGTCGCACATGAGGAAGGTTGTGAGTTCTCAATGTGGATTCAAATCAGAAAGCGCGCGAAATCTTGGGATGTCTGCTTTTCGCGCAGTTGTACGAAGTAGCATTGTCCAATCACAGGTGTGCGCCACAATTCAAAACAGCCAGAGTGGAGAGCAACCAGCAGCTGTTCGCGGAAACTGCAGGTGTCAGAGTTCTTGACTGACATTCCGTGTGCAGTCTGTGTAACTGTAAGCCTGACCAAGCAGCACGTCATAAAAACAAATGATTAACTAACCCAGTAGATTATGCAAATAAAAGTGAGTTCCCGAATTTGAGAGCAGCTAAACTCTAACCAAAACTTATTGCATCATATTATTTCCGATGTGCAATATACAGGAGGATACCCTAAGCACAAGAAATTAACTCCACAAGAGACCTACTTCTTCTTACGCTAAGCACTCTACAATGACAGCAAAACGCTTACGCGTATCATCTTACCCTAACAAGCTAGGTTCATGAAAGCATACATTAATCCCTTTGCCCTCACTTGGTGATGAGGAGCGGCCGCATCATGTCGTTCTCCTCGTGCTCCAGCATGTGGCAATGCCACACATAGCCCGGCCCGCGGCTCGCGTCAAACTCGAAGGTCTTCACCCCCGACTGCTGGTAGAACGGAGTGTAAATCGTGAGCACCTGGCCAGGCTGCGACAGGGTCGTGTCCTTCCACCCGCGCTCATTCGCGTTCACCTCAACAGCGGGGCCAGTGTAGCAGCTGGGCTTGCTCTTGTCCTTGAACGAGCACTTGCCTGCCTGGAACTTGGCGATGTCGAAGGGGCGGCGCGAGATGGGGCGGTGCTGGATGAGGTGCAGGTGCATGGCGTGCGCGTCCGCGCTGAGGTTGATGATGTTCCACAGCTCCGCCGTGCCCTCCTTGGCGATCTCGGTGGCGGGGTCGTGGTGCATCTTGCCGTCGATGGTCACGCGGATGGGCAGCTGCGTCGCGGGGTCCATGATCTCTACCAACGTGTTGAACCGCGACCGCACCGCGCTAGCAACATCCACCCGAGGAATGCTCTGCTCCGTCTCGGCGGGGTGTGGGGAAGGGTTAAAAAAACGAATGAACCAAGGGACGAGAAAACCAGCAAGGAGCAAGAAACAAGAAAATAGTTAGAGGCGAGAGTCTGTTTCAAAGAGCAAAGACGTACGACGAGGATGGTAGTGACAGGCGGGGAGGGGATTCGAGACGTACGACGAGGGAGCTAGGGATGGGCGGGGAGGGGATCTTGGTCTTCTTCAGCACGAAGCGCATGACGACGCCCGTGTTGGCGTCGGCGGGCTCGCCGGCGGGGTACGGGGCGCGTGCGTCGTTGGTGAGAATGACGTCCTTGCAGTGCCCGGGCGCGCCGTTGAAGTCCACCAGAATGTCCATCCGCTCGCCCGGCATCACCAGCAGCGACGACATGCGCACCGGCGCCGCCAGGTACCCGCCATCCGAACCGATCTGAACCGTGGCAACAGAAGAAATATAAAATGGTTGAGACGGGAAAACAAAAGCACATGGGAAGTTGGTTATGTACCGGCAAGTACTAGCAGAGGAAATCCCTATGAGCTGCATTAGTGGACAGCGCTCCATACGAGCAGCGGTTTACCTGGATAATCTCGAGGCTGGGGCCCTTCAGCGGGGGCGTGAAGTTGGGGTAGTCTCCGCGTCCTGCGCACGTGAACCTGAGGTTGTAAAAGCGCGCGTTCGACCCGCCCAGCACGCGGAAGCGGTACAGCGCTCGCCGGACCTTGAGGTACGGCCACACGACGCCGTTCACGAGAATGTGGTTACCAAAGTACTCGGGAACCCAGTTCGGGTGCACCTTCGGCACGATCCCCACGTTCGGGTAGTCGATCGACCCGTTGGCGAAAAACGAGCGGTCGGCGAGAACGAGAGGCACGTAGCGCCCGCTGCCGGGCTGCGGGAGGAACTGGAGGTTCTTCTCCTCGCCCTTGGGATCCACGATGATGTACGCGCCGGCAAGCCCCGCCACCGTGTTGAGCCGCGTCCACCCGAGCGCGTGGTCGTGGAACCAGATGAGCGACGCGCTCTGCTGGTTGCCGTAGCGGTACAGGCGCGACTTGAAGGTGGGGCCGACCTCGCCGAACTGCGTGAACCACGCGTCGGGGTGCCCGTCGAAATCGCTCATCTGCTCGCCTCCGTGCCTGTGCACCACTGCGGAGGGGAAATGCCGACGCACAATGGCAAGACAATGCGTGAGTCGGAATGATGAGCAACGGCTAGTAGCTCCGCGCGGACGGAAATGGGGAGAAGCGACAATGGGAGCAATATTGGCAGCCGTGGAAAGGAAGGCAATTTCTGTGGCGACGCACCGATGGGAATGCCGCCCATCTTGGGCTTGGCCATGCCAGGCATGAGCGTGAAGTCGTTGGTGAACATGTGCTGGCGGTCCAGCAGCTTGTTCTGCCAGTACACCTTGGTGCGCACGCCCTTCTTCGCGATCAGGATGGGCCCCGGATACGACGCCGTCTTCGCGTCCATTCCGTACGCGTACTGCTTCGTCGCCGGCAGGTCGCGGTGAAATTTCTGCGCATTCAAGCCGGGGCAATCAAGAATTGAGGGAAAAAACGCTCGTCAAAACTCAGGAGCACGAGGTTTTGTCACGGTAACAAGGTGCTTCACGGAAAATCATGGCTCTGCCTTGGTATTACTCACGTGGTAGATCTGGTAGGCGCTAATCTGAAGCGTCTTCCCGCTGGCAGCGTCGACGACGGTGGGCGTGAACGAAGTGGCCATGTCGTTGACGAACTTGCAGAGCGGGTACTTGGGGAACCGGTTCTTGCACTTAGGACCGGCGAGAGGCGCAGCTATTGACGCAGAAAGCAGGGAGAGCAGGCAGAGGGCGAGCAGCCCCGCCGTCTTGGGACGCGGTGAGGAAGCCATTGCAGAGCAGGTGGAGTAAAGTTTTCGTAGTAAATGGTCAGTGGAAGATACACCAGGTCAAGGATGTGCAAGAATGTGGTGAAGAGTGACGAGTGTAGACTGGCCAAAACTGCTGAATTTGTACTGCTTCCCACATCTGGGAGGGTCCCGTGGCTACGTTTTTGCATGGTACCCTACCGAACCATGTTAGGTTGTAAAATGACCAGTCTATATCGTACTAAACCGTAGTTTGCCGCATTCATCCGTGTGGTTTCGATTTTCGTTCGGCGTCCAGCACGCAACGGGGTTTAGTCGCGCCGCATCAAATTTCCGTAGCCACAGCGAGCCAAAGGTGCGACACGGCACGGCAAATGCAAAAGCTTGGCTCGCGTGGGCCTAGTCGGATTGATAGGGTCAAGTTTAGTGCGTACGTGTACAGAGCAATTTTGAAACGAGTTTCTTCATTGATCATGACAGAGCTCGAGTAATTTCTGTTATTTCAAGTGTATTCTTTAGCCACCTATGGGTCCTCGATTGTTTCGGGTTTCTCTGCGAGTTTCAAGGAAATGCTTTTACAATCAGACTTCGTTTCCACTGACAACGAAGCAGGAGTGTTTTTTAATCGAGTCCATGTTTTGGGGGGCTTTGTTACCTACTGTTTGAGAATTACTGCACACAACTGTAGGGGGAACCGGATCGTCACAGCTAGCAAAAATCCTAGCATCAGACCACTGGTCTTGCAGACCTACATTAGCTCGCGTCGCTTGGACTGGTGAGATTGTGATGGTGATACAATCACTCACGCGAGAGTGTGGATCGGTTGGTCCAATACGGTAGCATATGGCCGAATGCCGTGGCAAATCGTGTTGACATATGTGACTAATGCGGTTGTACGCACGCTCGCACATGCGACGCGAT